AGGAGTTCCGATGATTTTGAGTGCTGGATCGCGGCCGTGAACATTTTAAGTACAGCGATACCATAGAACCCCCGCAAAGGTCTGTACTGCTTGTTGTTCCGACTGAGAATAGTCGAATAAACAATGTCGAGGTCACCCGAGGACAAAGTACAAATGTAGGTAATCTGTGATGTGCAGGTACTCCGATGATATGGAAATAGACGCCAAGAACAGAAACGGTATACATCAAGCATCACACAAAAATGTCTGGGCCTTGGAAAATGGTTTCGAGGTCAGCAAAGACAGATTAGTACAAATGGTTCCCCGGAAAGGTAGCAAGATCTCTAACAGCAACAGAACATACGTTGAGAACAATGCATTACAGAAGTAAATTAATTAACATAACTAGGTATTCAGAATTCACACCAAGAAAGGGCTGTAGGAGGGTTTGGGTTATGCATGGCATTATGAGGATAGAGATACTACCTTTTCAGGGTGAAGATCACCCTGATTCTCAACTAGACATTCAAATATCTTGGGATAATCTAACAGAAACCGAATTAGAAACCCTAATAAATACGAGGCCAGTATATTTGAAGAAACTCTTCTGTGTATCCATATTCGCGCTTTCGACCTAAACTTCTGAGAAGGAAGATATCGCTCATCAAAGAACTTAGAACACAGCTACTCCAGCCATCACACGTATAATCAGAACTACAGAGAGAATAAGATGTGTAGATGCTTCTGACACTGCATAGTTACTATCACAAACATATGCGACTACAAAGAAGAAGAAATAGTAGGGAAATATGGAATACATTTTATTCAACAGAAGTAATGACAGGACGCGATCGTCACGACCCGGACGACTGTCACCATACGATCTGTGCACAAAATAAATAATACAGAGCAAATGAGAATCTTGTTTGAGGGGGCGGGGGGGTGAGAGGGCAATGAGTTAGAACGATTCCACGTTATAAATTATGAGAAAGAAACGAGGTCACTGAATGACACAAGTAGGGAGATTTAATGTGCACCGTGTGTTCTATTACCGTTATTCAGTTATCTTTGACTTCCTACCACACCAGATGACTAGTATGACTGTATAAGCTGACTAGAAGTGTATCGACCACAAAAATGCCAACATAGGTATGGATCATACATAACTTACCGTAGTATGTTGCTATTAAATATGGTGTGTACCGTGGTTTATGACAATCTTAGATTCTGTGGTGTTGGCAATTTTATCTGTAGGAATGTTATCTGTTATCTACACAAGTTATAGATAATAGAAGTTACATAAGTACAGGAATTTTCTAAGAATGGCAGGGTTAGGATTAAGCCCAGGAGATCCAAGCTCATTTGCAAGACCAGGTATTAAATTAGGCTTGTGTGGTTGTCTTGTAACATGTGTAAAGTTTGGTGTCTATGTTTAACCTCTTACTTAACCGGTATATTTCTAATGTGTAGGCATTAGTCACCGTTGTTGTGTGTGTGTGTGTGTGTGTGGGTGGGTGTGGAAGCAGTGCGGAAGGGGTTGGTGGATTATGTCTCCTTCACATAGGTTCACTATCATCCCCTAATGTCGTGTTGGAAAGAAATGGGACTATTTATGACCTCATGATACAAATGTTTTTCTTACTGTTTCAAATTTATAGCTTTGTATTAATACAAAGTGCACCTTTTCGGTTCATTCACACTTTGGTAGTTTCAGTACGCGAAGGTTTAACATCCCAACCAACATTATACCGTCATATCCAGTTCTCCCACTTCCAACAAGATCACCCAAGTGGATATTTTCTAAGAGGTTTCCCAACAAAATTTCTTTATATTCACTTGTCTCTCCCCCCTTACATAACCATATGTATAGCCCATCATACATTCCTAAATTTCACTATCCGAACAGTACCAGAGTATATAAATCACGAAATTCTTTGATACAATTAGCTCAGTTCATTCTTCTTTGATTCAAATGTTTTTCTGAGCATTTTGTTTGCAGACATTTGTAATTTTGTTCCACCATTAAGGAGATGATTTCACATTTACGTAAAACATTGAGCAATATAACTATTATTTGTGTGATCTTCAGGGATTATAAAATTGATGGAAAGATAAAAGTATATTGATTGACATTAGAACAATAATTGAATATGTTATTTCAGTGTCAAATTATGTTGTACTTCTGTTATAACCAAATTAAAGCCTTTCTTAAAATTTGTGAATGACCATTGTGCTGATCCATTAAAGTATTCATGATCTTTCATTAATATTTGTTGAATGCAAAAGTTTGATCAAAGATAGATCTAGCTAACTCAATGCAGCAAAGTTGTTCTTGAGAAACTAATACTGTAGGACACTACATAGTCAAGAAATTCTCCAAATTTTATGAAACCTGAAGGTTTATTGCTGTGTACTCAGGAGCCAGCCATCAATCCCTATCCCGAGCCACACAAATCCAGTCCACACACCCAGACTCTGTTTCCCCAAGATTCAGTTTAATATTATCCTCCCACCTTCCTCTGGGTCTTCTGCATGGTCTCTTCTCTTCAGGCCTTTTGACCAGAATTTTGTATTCATTTCTGATCTCCCATTCTCCTTCATTTTATTACCCCAGTAATATTTGATAAAGAGTACAAATTATGAAGCACCTCATGCACGTTTCTTCAATCTTCCATTACTTCATTCTGTCAGGTTCAGATATTCTCTTAAGCATCTTTTTCTCAAGAACCCTCAATCTTTGTTTTCCCCATAATATTAGAGACCAGGTTTCAGACCAGTACAAAACAACAGGCTCAGTCATTATGGTGACTGGCTACAGACTGGACGATCAGGGTCCGATCCCCGACAGGGGCAAGGGATTTTTCCTCTAGCCTCTGCATCCAGGTCCAGTGGGTACCAGGGTCTTTTCCCTGGGGTAAAGTGTGCCAGGGCATGACACTAACCACTCACACCCACCTGGTGTGGAGGTTAAGAATGAGGAGGAGCTATACCTCCTCCCCCTCCCAAGTCCCAACATGGCATGTAGCATGACAGCTTTACTTTCACTATACTTTTTAGTAGAATATGTATGGTGTTTAAAAGTTCTCAGTGACAATTTTTGACTTTATTGAATTATGTATTTACAGTTTATCTAATGATGCTGTTAGTAGCTGAGGTACGTATGTACAGTTGATTGATGTGATGATTAATTGTGAATAATAAATTGGAACGGATGTTGAAGGAACCAGTTGTGTAACCTAATTTAAGGTACTATCCTGACATTTGTCTGGACAGAAAAATAAGAAAATTCAGTCAGGATAGCTGGTCTCTGGGACAAGATATGGACCCAGGTCACCCCAGATATGAAGCAGTGGTACTGACCACTTGGCCACAGTTTTCAGTAACTTCGTTAGAACTGCGTGTGGGACTAGAGTTTGGCGGTGGCCCTTGCCCAACCTTCACCCGTTCCCCAGTGGTCCGATCAAGTTCCTGCTTTGACTGACTGGTTCCTATATCTCAAACCAATTTCTCATGCATGGCTTACTCATCATCATGATTATGAAGGCAGCAAAGACCTCTGAAACATTGGTAAATTTCTGCCAGACTACAGTATTGCAACCCAGAAGACTCACTGCCATGAGAACCTAAAATTCTACTTAGTAATATTTTGAATAAATTGACATGGAGTTAGAATAAATTGCCTCCCCCCTCCCCATTTATAATCTTGCAGCCCATGAGTTGGCAAGGAACTGTGAATTTGGTCATACATATGGTAAAATTTGGGAATATCTCTTTTAGATTTACATCTCTCTGATTGGTTTTGAATTTGCAGCCATTGCTTTCTATGTTCTATGAATATTTGAACCTTCTTCATCATTCCATAATTTATTTTGCAAAATTTTGTTGTCCCTTGCCCTTTTCACTTGATATGTTCACATTACCGCATATTAAGAATTTATTATGTAATTACAAATTGTATCTAAATCTAATATAAAGAATGTTTAGAACTGTGAGTACAATATACTTCCAGAAACTTGTGTATGTTCTATGAATTCATATTTTATACAGCAGTTAGTTGAAGTTCTTGTCATTAGGCAATTGTGTGAGATCTAGATGCAAATGTTAAAAGTTAAGATATATATTTTATAAGAACTTTACCTTGCTGGCTGCTGGATTAAATTATTTTATTTTGTTCACAGAGGAAGCCGCAGTTTCTTCAGTTGATTTATACCTGGATGTAGATTTTGATCATAAGGTTTTGAGTGGGAGAGCAGATTTGACTGTTGATAAGAAGAAAGATGATGTTACTCATGTTGTAAGTTTCATAACACAGCATGGCTTACGAGCTTTTAGGTTTTCAGGGAAGTGGTGATGATGTTATGGGTTTTAGCACTAGATGCCACTTCTTCTTCTATGGCTCCGTGTTTGATCCATGGCCTCCGCAATTCTCATCTTTCATTCAGTCCTCTGTTAGGTCCGTCTGTCCGAGGCTTTGATTGAGGTTTCGAAGCATCTTCCTTTTATGGTGCAAGGTTGTTAGCCTTGCGACCAACCCCCAACCTGGAGGACCAGGGTATATGTCTTAGTTTTACCTCTCCCCCTCGACCAATCTGGCTAGGGAGGCCCTACCAGTAGCTATGCTACCGCCACCTTAGCTCTTGGGATCAACGAGGTACTCAAGCCCCACCACCACGACAAGATGCAGGTACCATTAAGTAAGGTGTAGATGCCACTGTTTCTCCTAAATTTTGGTATCTACCTATGAATCTTCCTAGCTTCAAAACCCATTACAGCTTAGCTTGTCTGTCGTTAGAGCTGTTATTGAGTGGCTCAATGAAATAATGGGACAGTTTTGCACTTCTTGATTTTGAAGAATGATTGTGTTAACAGTTTAATTTTGGTACATAAATGTTACAGACGTGCATGATAGCTGTTTGTACTCTGTCATATATCTTTTTGTTCTTTCTTTTTTCTAACATTGTTTACATTTTGTACAGGCAGATTGTTTGATTTAAATAATGAAAAGTAATATTTGATTTAATAATTCATGTTACAGATTACTGTTAGATAATATATTGTATTCAGTTTTTCTCTTTACAGATGTATGTATTTCACATTTATATTCTGTCTTGATAGGCTGAATGATATTTAGTTTTTGGAACTCTAAAATGTATTATGTTGATATCAGGTACTTTTAATACTAGTGTTCCTATGTATATATGTATTTGTTTTAGATTCTTGATTCTAAAGATTTGAATATAGAAAGAATCATTGACCATGTCTCACAACAAGATCTGGAGTTTACTGTGGGTGAGAAAACAGAAACCCTTGGTTCCAAACTGGAGATTAAGTTACCAAGTACAAAGGAAGATAGGTAAGCCAGATATTGCATGTTGCCCAAATAACATATTTTTAACTAATCATAGTGTAAGTGTTTTCCATTGTTACTCATGGTAAGAAATGCATTTTTTACTGCAACCCCTAACCCCCATATAAATTATTGATAAATAGTAATTAAGTAATATTATAGGAAGAATGGACTTGATAAATTAATAGCATGAATGTTTAGTTAATGTTGTAAGATTTGAAATTTTGACGGTGGAAACGATAATGAGTATGTTGTAGGTTTTGTCTCTGTGTGCACTGGTTAGTGGCTGCCAAAGTTTCAGAGAAAAGTACTGTCTCCATCTTCAAGGCTGAAGTGGTGATGCTGGGAATCAGAGGGATTATATAGAGTGACAGGAGTGAAGTCTGAAGTCAAGACAGAATGAGGTAGAGATTGAGCCAGGTTAATGGGAAGGTTCCAATTAGGCATCAGCTGGCTTCTCCATAAGTTGGGCATGGAAGCTTCTTTTTCATGACCTGAAAGATTGTGGACAGTCTGTCATCAAGGATTGAACCCTGTCCTGTGACCATTGTAAGGACTGACTGCTCTCTTACCCACTCCATCACACCAACATCTTCCCCCCTCTCCTATGACATCTGTTTGGAGTCTCCTGGAATGGCCTGGCTCAGTCTTAACCTCATTCTGTCCTGATTGGCCCATTCCTTCAGACTTCATTTCCTCCCATCCTACATAATCCTTCTGATTCCCAGTATCGTCACTCCATCCCTGAAGATGGAGACAGTATGCTTCTCTGAAATGTTGGTGTCTACGAACCAGTCCTCATGGTAACAAAATCAAGAAGAATATCATCATTTAGTTAATGTTATTTGCCTCTGTTGCTACATGTATACTCGCTTGTTCTTTGTAATTTCTGCCCAGAGTAGAACATGTTGACAGTGCTATGTGCATACCAGGTTCACTGTTATGTCTGTTCCTTTCGTGATAAACTGTGTCTTATAATCGTTTTCCATTGTCACCGAGGAACTAGAGATGAGCCGGGATAGCTCAGTCAGTATAGTGACTAGCTACGGGCTGGACGACCGGGGTTCGATCCCCGACGGGGGCAAAGGATTTTTCCTCTAGCCTCTGCATCCAGACCGGCTCTGGGGCCCACCCAGCCTCCTCTACAATGGGTACCGGGGTCCTTTCCCGGGGGTAAAGCCGGCCGGGGCGTGATGCTGACCACTCACCCCCATCTAGTGTCGAGGTCAAGGAAGAGAGGAGCTATACCTCCTCTCACCCCAAACGCCTACATGGCGTATAGTGGGACAAACTTTACTTTACTTTACCGAGGAACTAGATTGCAACAGTTCATTCTTTCTTCAGTTTTTTAGTTCAGTTTGGTTATGATTCATGATTTTTAAAAGCAAAAGGGTCTTTTATCTGAACATTTTGTTCCAATCTCCATGTCTCTCGTCTGGAAAGTAATGACTAAATCTGTCAAAGCAATGAGCAAATTTTAGTTCAACCAATTTGCCTCCATTGGTAACCTTTTCCTTAACATGGTGGAACAATTTAAAATTATTCATTGTCAGGACTTTTTCCATCGTCTTTTCTTTTAAAACCCACGACGTTTCGGAGGCTGGTTCTTCTCCGTCTTTAGGTGAGAGGTATCTACTCTGTTCCCTTAGATAGAGCTAGTCTCTATCACTCTATCACTGGACTTTAAAGAAAAGACAGTGGATCAATGGAATAATGGGCTAAGAATGCTGAAGTAAAAAGCAATGTTAAAATAATAATAACAACAACAACAATATCTTAAGATTTCACGTTGATTCATTTTTGTTGTTGATCTGCTTTTGGGTTCTGACAACGTGTAGAAGTTGGCTTTATTGCTGATGTGTCAGAATATCATTCTGCCTGTGTCATCAGGGCAGAACAGAAATGTCAGCAGCACACACTGTACCAGCACCCACAATCAAGTCATCCGCAATATTATTAATGTAGATTGTTTTAACAAAACTAGTTATTTCAAGAGATCTTTTGAGGAAAATGAAGAATACATATTAAAGGCTGTAAATTGCGTTAAGGCAAAATTAGGGGTGGTCATTGGACAAAGTATATTATCACCAATATAATGAAAAATATTGTAACTGAGTCAGAAATGAAATTGGTTTAAAAACTTGTATGTATTAAATTATATTAAATGGGATGAAGATGTGAGGAAACTTGAGACAAGCCAGACTCAGAAAATGATAAGCAAGGAATACAGACTGGAAATAAAACCTAGAGAAGACAGTAATGTTAAAACTCTCAAGAAATGACGTGAAAAATACAGTATTAAAAGAATTGTATAATGTTGTCTGCATGAGAAGTATGGTAGAGAAAAATGGTAAGATACAAAATGAGATAAGTAAAAGAATTTGAAAGACTTCACAGTGTTATCATTTGGCTAAGATTTAATTATGGAATGAAGATAAAGACAAAATATCAAATTACAATATTCAATGTGTAATTTGCTGTATGTTTTAAATTATTTCTTTCTGTATATTAATTTCTTTAGGAAACAGGGTTATTCTGGCCATACTTGTAAGTTTAGTGTATTTAAGAAGAAACTTGTAGGGAGTAGGTGTATGGATAAAACTGCATGAGGAGCTTCATAATTTGCTTCCCGCTCTTTTTTTGGTAGGTGGATTAAATGGACGAGTAAACGTTCAGTGGGGGAATTAGGAAGTACATAGATCAAATTACAATATTCAATGCGTAATTTGCTGTATATTTTAAATTATTTCTTTCTGTGTATTAATTTCTTTAGGAAACAGGGTTATGCTGGCCATACTTGTAAGTTGAGTGTATTTAAGAAGAAACTTGTGAGGAGTTGGTGTATGGAGAAAACTGCATGAGGAGCTTCATAATTTGCTTTCCGCTCTCTCTCTCTCTCTCTCTCTATCTCTTTCGGTAGGTGGATTAAATGGACGAGTAAATGTTCAGTGGGGGAATTAGGAAGTACATAACAAAACAGTGATATGGTGAACTCCAAAGAAGAGTATACTTGGAGGTCTATATTTAGTTGGAAGAGGAATATTAAAGTGAATTTTACTAAAATTGGGTGTGAAATTGTGAACTAGAATCGATCAGGCTTGGGATAGGGTTCAGTGATGGGCTTTTGTGAGTATGGTAATGAGCCTTCAGGTTTCTTACAAGCTAGGAATTTCTTGAAGGCCAAGTGCCTATCAGCTTTAGAAAGAAGATTCAGAGCTATGGAGTTATGCATAGAGAGTTGAAATCTTGCCACCAAGGCATGTGGAGTTTTAACATTCCCTATTGGTAAGGTAGGTATACAGTGTTATATTTGCAGGCAGAAAGGAAAGTGTATTACTTTAGTTAGTGGAGAAATCAAAATTAAACTGCTTGGTTTTACATTGTGTATAATTATTCTTTTAAACTCATCCACTATCTTAGGTGTTCTTTATTTAACATTTATCCATAATGTGTAGCTGTGTGCGCATGATCCAGATCACCATGGCAGCCCTTGTGTTGCATTAAAATACTGCGTAGTTGTTAATTCCGTGCTTAAAAAGTCCAGTCAATAGCTGCTTATTTTGGGGATTTAAATCTGTTACATCTGCACAATAAAGTTTTCTGGACATCAGTTCAGATGGCAGATGGAAGGACAAGACCCTACTGTGATGTGAATCCTTGTCCTTCGCCTGTCACCTGAAGACGGAAGTAAAACCAACTCTAAAAGTGTTGTGGTTTTAAATGAAATACACTTAGATGATGGGTAAAGTCCAACAGAATAATTCTGCATAGTCAGAAACGTCTTTGCTTGGTTTCAGTTTTGCGCATCACTTCATTTTCTTTGTCGGGATATCTGCCATGTTAAACCCAGGATACAGTTGTGAAAAGAATATGCATTGAATGTTGTGTTTATTTGAAATATCTTATTCTGTACTGCAAAAGACATGAACTTTTCAGTATTCTTGGTACTGTTTAATATCATGTGATTGTATATGAAGATCATATCAGTTGTGATTTTATAATAAAAACAGTTCGGAATTTCTTTCAGGATACATCTCAGTGTCAGTTTTGAGACATCTCCAGATTCCTCTGCTTTGCAGTGGCTACATCCAGAACAGACAGTGGGTCAGAGGCATCCATACATGTTCAGCCACTGTGAGGTGAATAGGTACATTCTTAAAAAAATCAATGACAATATTCCCCTTGTTCCAGGTTTATCATCAGTATCTTTTATGAGACAGATGTCAATGCTAGTGCCTTACAGTGGCTACCTCCTGAACAAACTGCTGGCGGCAAACATCCCTATCTCTTCAGTCAATGTCAGGTGAATAATCATATCCCGACTAATCAAATTTAGTTATATCGGTCTTAAACCATCGTATTATATGTGTTGGGAAGACTGCACTTAAATTCTAAGAAGGTACATAATGTCCAGGATGAAATCATTGTTCTGATCCTCTGTTATTGGTCTTCATAAATTATTTGAGAAGCTGAATGCTGTTGAGTTTCTAGCTCAGTGTGTAGTGAGTGGGTGTGCTGCCATTAATTGAATGCCCTGTGGTTTACCATGTTGTGTATGGGTAGTATCTTAGAATAAGATTTCTCCTCTCTAAATTTATTGTTCATAATCACCTTTCCATCTTCAATTTTATGTGATAATAAATTTGGGACAGATTTTAAAATAATAACTAAAGGAAATGTCATTTGGGATAACAGCTTAGTGATGAGGAATATGAGACGTGGACAGTCTTAATACATGACTGTAACATACTTCAAACAATAAAAGGATTCTTGCAAATTATAGAATTATCAGAGAACAATAAAATGTTTGTAGAATGTTATATGAGCAGTTTCTGTAGTTCTTATGGTGATTATTGCAAAAACATATTAAGCTGCACAGTAAGAAAAGGAACATTTTTGTAGTCTTAAATGTTTATGAAAGAGAAGCTGATACCTTGAAAGTGTTAAAGTTGATTGAAAGCAACACCATGTATTAAGACACAGATTTGGACAGTTGGAACACTGAGGTGGACTGACCAGCTACATTGATTCTGTGTTATAGACTCGGAGGATGTAAGACTTCTGTCTTGCTTATGTTGGTTTGGGCCCTGCACTTTAAAATTTTAATACACTGGAAAAGCAGCAATGGACAGCTGACAAGCTAAACAGTGATTTACATTTTAGGATTTGAGGTTTTCACGGCAGTGAGAATGAAGATTGCTGTCTTCTGGGTTGTTGCGCAGTGTAGTCCGGTGGACATCTACCAGACTACATGATACAACAACCCAGAAGACAGCAATCTTCAGTAATTTACAAGTTTGTAACTTTTACTTGCCCAGGTCTTGCATACCCATCACATTTTCAGAAGTATTTAGGAAATATATATCAGTTCTTCTCAATTTGTCTTTGCAGTTGAAGTGAGGAACATGAGAAGGGTCATATTTGAAACTTATCTCATATGTTAAAGGTGATAGTTAAAAATTTGCTGGGACATGTTATAGAACTGAATAATTTGGTGTTTATTGATTATACAAGTACATAGAAGTTATAGTTTCTATGCCAGTCACTGTAATTCTGGAATTTGAATGTTGGTGAAACTGAAACACGGAAAAGTGTTGTTGTGTTACTTATGTCTGTCGTAATTACAGTTACTTTATTTCTAGGCAGTCCATTGTCGCTCCATGTTCCCATGTCAAGATACACCCTCTGTAAAAGTGACTTATAATGCAGAGGTATGTATAATTCTTGAAATGGTGCAGCTTGCAAACTGCAAGAATATGCTTGTTGAGGAAGCAGCCTGTAAAACTACAGCTTGTTTAAATTCAGTAGCCAAAGTGATTGTTTTCTTTGAAAGTTTTCTTGCCTGTTATGTCTTTATTTCCAAGTCAGATTCTTAGAATTAGAATTATACACTTTGTCTCTAAGTCTGTGATAATTATACTACACTGTTTAAACATGTTTATTCTTTGTATGTACGAGGGTTGCTCATTAAGTAATGCCCCACATTTTTTTTCTCAGCCAATAATGAAGATAGAAAAGTGTACTTTTACATGCTTGAGATTTGATGTTTCCCGCGTTCGTGTACGGAGTTTCAAATGATTCCAACCGATAGCGGAGCTGTAGTGAACTGTTAAAATGGCGTCTGTGAACGACTCTCGGTACAAGCAACGAGCTGTAATTGAATTCCTTGTTGCTGAAAAAGAAACGGATAGTATGTAATTTAATTCAGTTTGCGAATGTTAGACATTCTTAATTCCAGAATAATGTTATCAAATCAACTCTGTCAAGTGCATAGTCTTATGTGTAATACACTTACTGCATGTTTTATTGTGAACAGATTACGGCTCCGACTGAACTTACAGTACTGATGAGTGCAAGGAGAGTGGGTGCACCAACTGTAGCATCAGCTAGACTTAAGTTGCATAAGTTTGAACAGCCAATCCCAATTCCAGTTTATTTGGTTGCCATCGTCGTTGGTTTTCTTGAATCACGGAAACTTGGACCACGGTCTCACGTCTGGTCAGAAGTGCAGGACGTTGATAAGGCAGCTTATGAATTTGCTGAGGTATGTGATTTGAGGTTTTCACGATTGTGAAAATGTGCAAATGTCTACTGAGTTGTCATGTCATGTACAGGCATACCTCATTTTATTGCGCTTCACAGATATTGCATTTTTTACAAATTGAAGGTTTGTGGCAACCTGCGTCGAGCAAGTTTATCGGCACCATTTTTCCAACAGCTTGTGCTCACTTCGTGTCTGTGTCACATTTTGGTAATTCTCGCAATGTTCTCGCATTGTTTATTTTTAGACATAATGCTATTGCACACTTAATATGCACTGGGAAACCAAAACATTGGTTTGACTTGCTTTATTGCTGTGTTCTGGAACCGAACCTGCAATATCTCTGAGGAATGCCTGTAGTCTTGTATGTGGTTACCAACATTTTGGAGAAGCATGTTGTCTCCATCTTCAGGGTACGAAATGGAGATGGCCCATTCCTGTGAAATGTTACTAACCTGATGCCATGATCACAGCCCAGAAAACCACACTCTACATTGCTGAGATATAATTGTCCATGTAGAATAATTGTAATTTGTAACCTAAACTACACTATTCTAAGAAAAAGATGGTTCACTGTCAGATTAGATTATAATTAACTAAGTATTTAGAATAAAGAACATTGAAATAATTGAGATTTTGAATGAAGCTGCTAGATGAGTAGAAATTCTTTTCTCTCTCTTTGCATGTAATTTCTGATTACATTCCTGTAGAATATCATATACTTCTAGCCATTTTTTAAATGTGATTTGTAACAATTTTGTCTGATAGTTTCTCTTGCTCTTTTATGTTCCTATACCATTCTTCACAGAACTTGGCATATCACCTTGAAGATGAAGTTCTCTTCCTAAACCAGTCAGTATTGCTACTGAAGTTACTCTTGGACCATGAGTTTTTATTTCTGAAATTTGATTTATTTTATTTGAGGTACTTTGTGGAGTATTGGTTTTAGTTCCATTAATTGTATAAAATAGAAGGCAAGCAAATAAAATGCCAGGTCTTGCACAACAAGCCATAAATTTTATTTTGAAGGTGTTTGGATATTTCAGGTAGGAAGCAGGCAGTGGTTGGCCTTCAGTTTAGTGGCTCTATCTCTATGTGTCACTACTCACCTTATGTGAAGGCTAGTATTTATGATTTGAGGTTTTCACAGTGGTGAGTGTGAAGATTTCTGTCTTCTGGATTGTTGCACTGTGTAGTCTGGGAGGTGTTTAAAAAAAAGTTTCAGAGGTCATACTGCCTCCATCATCAGGGCGATGAATTCCTCCTTCCAAGTTCTCTTATTAGCGAACATTTTGTACCTTTACCACCTGCTTTCTGTACTTTACATCTGACCTCATCACCCATTTGGAAACTTGTGCCAGTTTATAACATCTGTGCTTTTCGTTGAAACCTAGATTTATAGATTTTATTTTGATTTTAAATTTCTTTCCCCCTACTCAATATTGGTCTATATTTCTCCCATCGTGGCCAGAGCCACAGACTCCCACTTCCTCAAGTTCATTTCGTTTTCATTTCAAAGACATGGGCTTCTGTGCTATCAAATGTAGTTAATGTTAAACCTTGATTAATTCATATTCATGGTGGTCATTTTGTATAGTTATATGATGTGAAATCAGTATCCTTCTGTGTAAAGATTTGGTTTTGTTTGACTTATAATATGGATAATCCAAAGTGTTTTTGATTTATAATTTGGAGTTGTCGCCATGTATTCTTGGAAATAGTAAGAGTTGGTTAATTCCAACATGTCTCAGAGCAAAGGTTTTTGATGGGAAAAAATGTGAAGGAGTTTTATTAGAAGACCCAAAAGATTTGGGTGTTGGAACCTTGAATTGGTCACCTGGAAAGCTTCATCTTTCAGCTGACATATGCAATAGTGAGGTGCTACAGAAGTCATTTGTGCAGTACTTTATTCTGCAAGTCAGTATTACTGTTTTTTCTACATTGTTCAGATTTCATAATGCATAGTTTTGAATTAACAGTTTTATTGCATTTTTCTGAACAGTAAATTGTTTATTATTTCTCAACAGTTTTAGTCACTTTTTTGCTTTTGGTTTAGTTCCTGAAGTTGTACAGTACACGACTGTAATCTTGAGACTTGCAAGGAATGCAGGAAGTCCGAAGCGTTAAAGGCAGACGCTATGTTTCCTCCTTCCTCCTTCACCCCACTTCCTCACCCCGCATGTCTGAAGATTACAGTTGCAGACTATACTGTTTGTCATCTTATCATCTCTTTCCTTTGATATCATTTAATCTAGGATATTGGCTTATTATTCCCTCCCTTTAAATTTGCTTTAACATAGATTTGACATTCTTACAGCAGTGAGTATAAATATTCTTCTGGGTTGTAGCATTTTGTAGTCTGATTGAAGTTAACCATTAAGTATAAATTGAGGTTCTCATGATGCTACAACCCAGAAGAGAGCCATCAAAGTTTACCAACATTTCAGAGGTCCTTGCTGCCTCTGTCATCTGGGCACTGATCGCCCTACACAGCAGTATAACCTATAAGATGGTCATCTTGCCCTAACATTTTGTTAATCTCAGTGGTATTCATTCTTCTGCATTTTCACTAAAAATGTAATGTTGGTTCTAACTGTATATCACCAGTTTTTTTGACAAACAAACAAAATACTCTACCATTAAGGCTGTTAATCACAAAACAAATCTCAGTGCAGCTCATACCATTTCACCAGTGTCTTCAGTTACTGCACAAAAATATCAGTTTGGTTATTTGATTGTTGGACATTTTAATGATAGTAGACTACTCACTCGAGCCACGATGGTCTAGCGGTTAGAACGCTGGCCTTGTAATCCTGGGGTCTTGGGTTCGATTCCCGGCGGTGCCCGAATTTATAACTTGTGTTGGGCAAGGCCGTGGTCTAGGCAACACGGAGTTTTCCTCCGTGGCATCCCAACAATTACTCCATTCACACACAGAAGAAGGCAATGGCAAACCACTTCTGGATCATCTGCCAAGAACGTATATGAACAGGTCCCAGTCCGAGAAAAGGATGGAAGGATCCTGTTCATATGGACCTGTAGTCAGACAGAACACTAAAAAAAAAGACTACTTAACAGAAACTGCCACACTGTACTTTACCTGGTCGCCATCGGTGGACTAGTCGTTAGTGTTTTGCCACTGGACCCAAGGTTTGCGGGTTCAAAGCTGGCCGAGGTTGATGGATTTTTAAGGGTGATAAAAATATATAATACAACTTCCTTCAGAGGGGAAGTAAAACTGGCATTCCAATGTTGTAGATTTATAGCATATAAAAGAACCTTACAAGCATGAATGAGATGTTTCGTAAGCAAAATTCAGCAGCCATTTCTCACCAAAGTCTCTCCTGATTCATTACTAGATGGCTCTAGCAGACAAATCAGGATTGAGTAGAAATTG